TCATTCTGATAAAATGTTTTACTTCTCAATTAAATATACTTTAATCCCCACCACAACATTTTGAAGCTGACAACATCTGAAAGTCTTCCACTTCCTTTATTTATAAGGTAATTAGCAGTCAGGCCATCAGTGCAATCTACCTCACACCAGGACAGCCCAGCTTTCAGGCCTGGGCACTATCACCTCCAAACTCCTGCCTATCTTTTGGCCACAGCAGCATGACAGAGCATAGAGTACTCACGTGGGGTTTTGATTAACTTTTTACCAGCTGTTGTGAGAGAGATAACACCTAATGCAGTGCTGAGTCTGCCAGAGCAGAGTTTTCAGAGAAGTTTCAATGGATTTAAATCAGCACAGCTTGCAGAGGTTCAGAGTTACGGCTCTGATCATCACAGGATTTTAGTTCTTTCAGGGTTTTTAATCTGACAGCAGCATCTCAAACATGAGGTTTAATATTTTGTGAATGTATGACCTATTATATGGCAGAGTATAAACCAACCACCTTCAGCTCTAACCTTTCAGGAGAGCACTTCACTCAGCGACCAACTCTAGCAGAGATATTTTTTCAAAACCAAGTAAAGAAACCCACTAGAATTATACAGTCAATATTCTTCATTCCAGCCACAGTGCAACGTAAGGACCATTTCAGCATTTCAGGTGGAAGATAAGAAGTTCTGTACCTAGGACAACAACTTGAAATAATAACAAGAAAACCCAAACTGTCTGTGTTGCATACTAAGCAAGGCAAATCTGTGGTCACAATTCAATCCTAAAGCAAACAAGCCCTGAGGGAGCAGACAGTGTAAAGAAGCTTTCTTATGTTAAAAAAAGGAAGCTTTCGATGTCTGGTTACTGCTGACTGGAAGATTACTGATGTCCATACTGCCACTAGCCCGTGAGAATATCACGACTTGAAAAACAAGCCTAAATACCAGAACACCCAAAAATCACAACCAAAGAGGCAGATTTTCCAAAAATACTAAGAAACATTTCCACAGAAAGGTTAACAAGTATTTTAAGTACTGAGCCTTTTTTCAAAGGTTCTCTGTCCACAAGCATCAAACAGCTGTAGCATTCATTCTGCAACACAACCATCTTCAGAAGCACCATCCTGGTACAACCACAGATTAAACTCAGGCAAAAGAGGTATTAAAGCTCACTTCTCAAACAGAACAGAAGCAGATTCAGGAACTCACATTTCAAAAAAAAAATTAAATCTAAGTTTATCACTGGACCATCCCACAGATGATGTGAAACACAGCACAGCTAAATACAAAAGACAAACCTCCAGTTACACCTAATGCCAAAACACTGAAGGAATCAAGGAAACAGGATAACCAAACACAAACACTGAGAAGAGATACAAACCCTCTGGGCTTAGAGATGATGGGTTTTAAAACCTTTTACAATCTTGTTTTCAGCATTCTAACTCAGCTCATCAATTAATCACAGGATCCACCTTACAAATGCTACGTACACATTCTCAACAGAGCAGCTTTGTCACCTACACCACAAACCAACCCCTCTGATTCCCAGCAGAGAAGGTATTATGAGAACTGAGCACTGCAGGAGTGCAGCCATTTTACAGTGTGAAGCATTCTAACACAAAATCCCAAACTCCTTCAGTAAAGCCAAGTGGAAGGGGTAGGTGCCATGCAATCTACAGAGAAACTGGGGTTAGTGTGCTGCACTGCAATCACTGCCATGCACAAGGGACCCGAAGGAGGCTGCACCAGGAGAAAGCATTACAAAGTTCTTGTATCCACCAAAGAACTTTGAAGCAGAGCATGAAAGAGTCAATGACTTAGCAGGTTCAAAAACTCCATCTTGGTTTTTGCAAACCGCTGTTTTTCCAGGAAGCTTAATTTAAATGGGATGGTGTCCCTAAACATTCTAAATTAATCCCTGATGTATGAAAATCCAACAGCACTTGGTTTTGAAAGCTGCCTCATCCCACTGGGCATTTGTACCTAGCACTTGTTAGCAGTAACTTTTTCTGTCATTAATTATTTTGAACTATTTTGGCCAAATTGAAGTTTAAGGAAATGTGCTGCCCATGATGATAACAGGTCTCATATACCCATGCAAATTATATATTAGAAAGGAACAACAAAATTTTTTTCAAAGCAACCTAGTAAGTGGGTTTTCAGGAGAAAATAACTAAATTCAGCAGAAGAAATTCTGAATATAACATGGAATGTGGATTTATTTTGTGTTTTAAAAAAGGAGCTGGATGCAAGAAGTTGCATCAAAAAAAATGTTGGATGTGGTGTTGTATCTATTTCAAAAAACACACTGAAAGAGATGGAGACTGTTAGGTTCAGGTCAAGTGAACAATGACAATTTTTTAAACCTGGAACTGGAATTTCTTGTCCCATGATGTATTTGGACCAAGACCACATATCCAGTTCAACCAGCAGCCTATGGAAATGCTGGTGTGTGGGCATCTCATTCCTGTAGGAATCTACTGCCAAACTCTGCCTTCTGCTGACTCATTCCTAGTGTTTTGCCAGTTTGTCTTTCTACAAAGGAAATGCAGCACTGCCATTTTAATGTTGCATTTTGGCCAGCTCTGACATTCAGCTTCAGGGATCTGAAGGCAGAACAGAGATTATCCAAAACACTGGATCTCAAGCACATTTAGTGTTAAAAAATTTCACTGTAGAACCCTGGTGTGACCTGTTTGTGTGTAACACTGTGAGAAGGACCACACTTTCCTAGGTAAGAAGATAACCATGTGGGTACAGATTTGCCACCCTAATTGTGTTCAAGTTAACCTGAGCAAGGTAATTTAAATGTTAAAGAAGAAGACCTGGAATAAAACTAGAAGGCAAAGTTTGGCACTTTAATATAAAACCTACTGGTATCCAGAGGAAGGCATTCAAACTCAACTCCAGATTGTCCTAATTTTATTTGACTTGGTTAATCAATTTTAAAGCACTTTTTACAATTTACATAATTTAAAGGAGCACACTGCATCCTATAAATATAAATTAACATTTTTAATAACTCAAGACATCACAACAAAGCCAAATTTTGAAATAAATTTCATGTTTAGTTATCTGGATCAAGAAGTAACATACACGGGGAGGGAAAAATCAGCATTAACAAGAAAACACTGTTTAGTTCTAAACTAAGTTTGTGCTTCTACATCAAAAACACAACACTGAAGTGACAGGAACTCTGCAAAGAACTTGAAAAGGTATATAACTGCTTTAGTCCCAAAACCAAAGCACATATTTATTTTTTCTTCTACATGTTATTTTTGTCAGTTCTATCTCAAATTAGCATTAATGGTAGAGGGACAAAGTTACAATACACTAACTTTACTGCAAATACGAATTCTGTTGTAGCTTGGTTTGGCTTAAGTTGAAATGGTTTTCCTGCATGAAAAACAAGAGCATATCTTTTCAATGTATTTAATAATCAACACATTTGTTAGTACAAAGCAGATGGTGTTTAGCAAGAAGGCATTAGGTGATCATTTGAAAACACCATGCTTTTTTTTTTTTTTTTTTTAAACACTAAGCCACCCTGAAGAGTTTTGTGAAGGCCAGATGTTCAAAGCTGGTGCACAGATGAAAACTGCACATCCATGATCTATGCATGGAACTATCCAGAACCTGGCAGGTGTTGACATACACCATTACCTGCGTGCTTTCTCTGTGACACACAAAAACCAAATCATATTTCATTCAACTTTGAAAATCTGGTCTTAACTACAAATGAACACTTTACTTCACTCCGTTAATTTAACAAAGGGCATTAATCCATCTTTCGATTTTTGGTTGAGGACTAAAAATAAGAGTGAGATAGCATAATCCTAATAATTTTTCCAAATTTTCAAAATGTTCTCAAAATAGCAAAAAAATCTCATAATTCTCAGTCTTTTTGTAATTATTGAATGTTAAATAAATAAATTTATCAAATGTATATTTATATTTGCTACAGATTATTTCTTGAAGCAAGTCACCGAATAACTTTAGGAAACTTTTAAAAATATAGTCACTTTAGGCCTAAACCTAAAATAATTACATATTAGGGCATAAGATGGAGTTAGAGAGTCAGCCTCTGAATGCTTCTTAAAAATAGGTGCTTCAAATACAAGTTTAGAAATGAAATTAAAAATCATGTTTTCAGTCATACTGAAGAAAACATCTGCGAAGATAAAAGGCCCTCATCCTTAAGATTGAAGAAAAAGATGGTAAGGGGGGAAAAAAAAAAAAAAAAAGCACCGTTTTCCCAAGTTGCCCAAATCACACACAGACACAGGAAGGTTACAAATGCCATTCATGAAAGAATGCACCACAAACATCAGCATTTATTCATTTTGAATTTTTTTTAGCAAATGACAAAAGACTCAGCTCACTGGCTTCACTTTTGTTTACCTTTTGCTTACATTACACATTTAAACATTTGTCAAAACTTACTAAAGTTGTCTGCATTCATGCACAACTAGAAAACATCCTTAATTTATTTAAACCAGAAATGCATTACCAGAAATGTATTAACATTGTTCACTACTAAACATTAAAAAAAAAAAAAAAAAAAGTTGAAATTATTAAAAAGGTTATCCTGGAACTGTTAACTTCACAGCAGACTTGAACTACCAATTGGCTCACATTTCAAATTGGAAAAAGCAAGATTCATGCTAGTGTTAGTGTACATCTTGCCCTAGCACTACTGAAGGATCATGGTTCACCTTGATCACAGATAAGAAAAGAAAAGTGCATACAGAAGTTTACAACATTTTTAAGGACAAAAAATGGTCCAATTGATGTGGTCCCAACGATTAACTCAAAAGTCTATGACAAATACGAGCTTCTGTGAGCTACTTATACTACTTAAGATTGAGTACAGATATACAGAAAGTTGAATTCGTTTGAAATCTTCAAAAAATGTTCCTGTCAATCCTCAAATGGTGGCTGTTATAGCTTAAAATTTCTGTTAAATGCGTGCGTTGAATTACTTGTTATCCAAGCGTAGCAGCTGCTCCTTACCATTTATTGTTAGCGACCTTAACTGGCCATCTTCTTCAACTTCTACTCTCTCTTGTCCATTCTCAAAAATCCTGCAAGACAAAAAAACACCATGAACCGTTTTAGAGCACTGCAGGCAGTTTTCAACACAAGCCAGACCTCAGGTTTAGGTAACAAACTGTATGGGAGCAGCACCTGCTTAATGCAACTGTACTTGGCAAGCTTTGGTGTTTACCAGCACCAGAGCTGTCACCAGTAACCATCTGCATTTCCCCACTGCTTAGTCAGGAAAATTGCCTGCTGGAACTTGGAATCCTCCAGGATGTAGAGCTCACAGTTACAGCTGCCACCTCATACACCCTCACAGCTGTGCTCACCCCACACACTGCAGTTATCCAGGCCTAAATGCCTTGACAGATCAGCTGCACAATCTTGACATTGCATTTAGTCCTTACCCATTTGTTATATGTATGATATTCTAGATCCAATCACAATTTTGAACACAAGATGGTCTTTAATCCACTCTTAATTTTACTGGAGCAAGTAATTTGTAGACCTACTATACACCAACTTCATAACCAGCATGCATGTTACAAAATTCAAGTATTCCTGACTGAAGAGAGATTATTAAAGAGCTCTTGAGTTTTCAGATTTCTCTGGAATACACTTACAGGAAAACATCATGACCACACCATCATGTGATCCAGAGGCTGTTTTTAAGTGGTCAAGATGATAGGAGCTCTCCAGTACAACAGTTCACAGAAGAACCTTACACTTTACAAGTATGGGACATGAATTAACAGAGAAAAAAATAAAAATTCATTCTCCCTCGCTTTTCTGTAATTTTTTATTAAGTAATGAAATTACATTTAACTACTTGTTCAGTACTCCTATATTGATTATAATATTCCATGTAGGTTATTCTATAGCTAACTAAGACTTGGATTTCCCAAATGCAATGATTTACCCACCACAAGCATGAAATGGAGAGAAAGTACACTGTGTACAGGACTTGAAAATTCACTTTCCAACAGACACATTTTTCTCCAAAGCAGGCTTCAGCTGCTTTTTTCACTTAACAGACAGAAAAAAATTACTAGCAAGACTTCACTCAAACACTGCCTAAGAAAGCACACTAAGCAGATGCTAGGGAAAATTCTTTCATAATGTCTGCAAAATTAAAATTCTTCCCAATTCCCAGTTAAAAGCTTCACAATCAATAGACACCAAGCACACTTTCCTCCCAGAAGTTCAAATGACTGAGCAGACAATAGTCAAGGACCATAATAAAAGGTGCAGCACTACACAGGAGGTTCTGAAGCTTTAAAGAGCTCCAGCTACAGCATTAAGTAACTTAACAGGGCATAGAAGGGAACCTAATAAAATATTTCAAAATGTTTTTAATCATTTAGAGAAATCCAAGTAATATGATGAAGATAATAACAAAAGTAAAAAACCATAAAAACATGTATCACTATATGTGTGTGCAAAGATACAGTGTGTTTATATGCATGTAATTACAGGTATGTACATCTCTACATATAGTTTCACATAAATATCTTTAGATCACTTACCTCTTTGTAGTAATTTTTCTGCCATTAACTATTTTAGTTGAGGTTGATACTGATTTGAAGTTTCCCATCCCACTGCCACCAAATGACGTAGAGGAGAAGGATGAAGTAAGGCCTCCAGGTCCCAGAGAGCCAAACGACGTAAAACCTATTGAAAAAGAAAGCATTTGAATAAAATGTAATGACTGCATGACTCTGGAATCCAAATTTATCATCCACTCAGACTAATCCCACTTTCAGGAAACCCTCAGCTGGTTAGATCACACAGCATCAGTGACTAGATGGCATTAGCACCAGCATGAGAATAAAACCATGGCTCCAGCCCCATCCATTTCTCTCATATGGACACACAGTTTAAGTTCCAAATGCACAGCATTGTCCAAAAACCATTTGTTAATTCCTCCCCTGAAAAGGCATTCAGCCTTTATCCACACTCTGCACTCAGGGGAAAGCCAGCAACTCTACTGAATCTGATCATCAGCTTTAGTGCAGATGTTGGGATGCCCCAAGCTGGCAGGCAGAACAAGTCCTGTACCAGTAACATTCCAAGCAGTACCCAGATTCCCAGCACTCAACCTAAGCAGTACCATGGATTTAGTCACAGGATTTTCAGGACCTGTAATAAAAGCCATCACACTCCTGAAAGCAGACAGAACAAAAGAATTCTAAAGCCATAAAGAAATTGTAGCACCAAAATAAAGGAAACAAAGTTCTACTTCTTAGAGATCTGTTAACTTTATATAAATTTTCAGGTAGCCCAAATATTCTAACTATGGCTTTATTTACATTTACATCTTAAAGAGAGCAGCTTAATTCAAAGAAAAAAAGAAAAAAAAAATCAGTCACAGAATCAGTTGAATGGAGAAGCCAGTTTATTATACTGCAACCCTCTGTGAGCCAAAATTGCATTTGTTTTTAAATGTTATGATATTTACCTGTGTCAAATGGAGAGAAACTACTTCCAAAACCAGGGAATCCACCAAAGGCCGAGAAAAATGATCCACCACCACCTCTGTTCCTGCTTCCCCTTGGACCCCGCCTGCCCCCGAAGAAGTCCTCAAAAGGATCTTCTACAAAACAGAAGACAACATTTAAGAGGTCAGTATTACTGAGTGATTGTGTATTTAATCATTAGGAATTCTTTATTTAAAAAAACAAACTTTTTTTTGCTAACAGATAAGATTCTTTCTTTGAAATATATGAGGCTACTGAACAAGAGACTCCCCCAAAGGTAATTCCTATGCTCCTTCTGGTCTAAATTCTGCTTGCTTCTGCACCTAAAAATAATTTTATATATAAAAAGTAGTTGATTTTGCCTTATTTTCCCTGTTTAGCATGAAAAACCAGTGAACCTAATGAAAAATACTGCATAAAGGTACCTGAACTTTCCAGCTTATTTCTATTCAAGATTTATTGAGGATCACCATGATCTGAAAAATAACTTCCAGATAGGTTGTATTAATTATTGAAATCTAAAAACAGCAGCCAGGGATTGATGACTCATTACCCTAAAGCGTTCCAAGTGTTTAATTTAGCACTTGCCATATTAGATACTCCAAACACGTATTCTGATGCACATTTAGCAGCAAAGTAGAGAGGTTTACACACAGTGTCCCAAAGAGGCATTCTGTCTGTACCAAGCAGGAGGGAGAGGCAAAAATAGAGAAAGGGGGTCACCGATAAAATGTTATTTCAAATTCAAGTTCCACTGTTATGTCATTCAGAACAGCTATTGTTCCATCTCCACCAGGAAGACAATAGCCTCTTTCCAAAAAGGAAAAAAAAAAAAAAAGATGGGGGAGGTGTCAGGCCATAGGGTACAACACCAGCACCTATAAAAGCAGTCTTAAGCAGTCTTTATTTACTAGAATTATCAAAAAACTGCTTTTTTCTAATTCTCTCGAGACAAAGAACTTGTCTTGAGACAAGAAAAAAATTGCAATCATAAACCAGAACGTCAATAAACATAATACTTGCATTAAAACCAAAAAAGTTTAGGAACTACAACTACTCACTCTCTTGATCAATCACAATTCTCCCAGAGTAAGTGTTATGGAGAACACCAATGATTTTACCAAGTTGTGCACACAGAGACTCAGTATTGAAAGCTCAGAATAAGCTTTTAATGAAAAATGCAGAACCTGGTGATAGCAGTAATAGAAATGTGAAAGCAAGGAAAGATTTGTAGCTGCCTGACTTCTCAAAACTAAAATTGACAAAGAGAAGGTCAGAAATGCAGTATTTGTTCCACTTCTGGTACCTCCACAAAAATCCAAGCTGATTTATGATAAATCACCAAGTTAATGCAATATGCATTTTGCATCATTAAGTAATCAGTATGATAATAAAAATATGTAAGTTACCATCTGGTTTATGTGCAATTGAAATGTCACAATGTATTTATGCTAAACAAGGGCAGCTGCTAAAAAATACCCCTACCCCTCTCCTAACCTCCACAGTTATTAAGTAAAACAACACAGCATCAAACTTTCATCTTACATACACTGGCAAGCAAGTGATAAGATTTTTTTCTACCTTGGACACTTTTTGTTTTGTAGCTTCATTTTTTCCCATGTAAAGTAAGTTTTCCTCAATATAAAGATGACCTATTAGTACCTTTATAGAAGGTAACCAACACTTGAGCTGGAAATACAGGAATTATTATAATTTCCAAAACAAGCATTATGACCATTTTTTAAAAAGGCCAGTTTTGTCAGTCTAGCATATCAACCAGCAAGTACAACCACTGCAGTTAATTGTTTTGTAGTCCAATTTATTCTCACAGGAATGACTCAGAGGTTAGTTATGAAGGTCATTCACTCACGTGTACAAATGATCTATACTATATTACTCCCACTGTTAAGCTTTCTATTTATAATCCAAATTTTCTCGTTACCTGGAGTTTGAATAAAAACAAAACAACCTGTCATGTAAGCTTTGAGTTTTTAATCTCCCACAGTCTATCAGCCTATTCTGCAAGTGAATCTCTCCTCCCCTGCACAACAGCTGCAGAAACAAAGTTATTTAAGGGAAGATCATGGACTCTCCTAGAGATCCCTGATAATAACCCAGCTTCTCAGTGGATTATTGCCACACCAAAGCCTAACCAAGACTTGGCCATGCCTTATCAGCCTGCACAGCAAAGGAAGAGGTCAGCACTTGGTATCAGCATGTGTCCAAATGTCAGGTGATTGCTGCCAGCAGCCTGGGAACAATCCTCCAGTGCTCTTCCTGTAACTCTCTCACATTAGACAGACCAGCCACTCTTCCGCAGTGCACTGCAGAATGCTCAGCAAGATGGATTGTGCCCAGCCAGGAAAAGGGGCAGGACTTGTCAGAGAAACTATTCCTTTATACTTCTGACAGCCAAGTACAGCAGGCAGAAGAAAAAAATTATCAAAACCATTGAAAGACGGCAGCAGGAGGCTGTTGCATTATCATTTGTTCTATCTTCCACCAAATACATATTGATATAGCAACATCACAGCTACTCACACCCTCTTTATGCTTTTACTCCCTAAATCAGGATGATTAATAGCACCACTCAGCAAAATAACAACGTTTCAGCCCTGTAAGTTTATTTTAGCAGAACCTTTCCATCCCTGATAACCTTTTCAGAAAAAAGGCCTTTTCCAAACTGTTCAAATGCAAGGTGTTGCCGTTTTTTAATGATTCCTCTTATTATAGTCATTTTGGTACCTCCAGTCCATTTTTTTACTGAATGTGAGCAGCGTATCAGATTAAGAAAACTAAGCAAGAAAAAAAAATTAGTCAAGGCCTTTTTAAAAAAGGGAAAATACTATATAAATACAATTTCCAAGCTTCAGAAAATCAAAATATTAAACCAGTGACACTTAAAGAGTATTAGTAACTACTGTTTGGAGATAAATTCAGTCTATTATAATCTAGGTATTACCAGAAGCTTATGGGAGGACAGATTCAGTTTCAATAAAAAGGTTGGAGTATACTTCTAATACAGAATTTGGGGTGCTGTCAAAACAGTAAAGATCAAGAGAGAAGAGAAGGTGAGAAAAAACCTCAAGAAAGCCAGTGAGAAAGACTTCTTATCTATTAACAATAGGAGATGACATGAAACTTTCTGGAAAAAGGCAAATGCTTAAGCACAGAACTCATGGTAGCCCATTACCAAAACACCAGACAAAATGAAGGACTTGAGGACTCTCACTGTTACTAGGTAGGAAGAGTGAAGTCACAGGAGCCAAAAAGTTAATGTGGAGATTGGAACCCGAAACCCCCAGCAACACCGAAGATTGTACCTAACAAACCTGTCTGAAAATAATTGCATTGGAGGTAATGTTTCCAGGAAAATTTACTCTCTTTAGAAAAATCATTGCTAACTCAAATACAACAGTCTTGTTCCTCTGGGTAAAACATTAAATATGCTCCCTGCAAACCATGGAATATTTCCTTGCTTTTCTGTAGTCACAGGAAAGGAATTTCACCTCTAAACAGGTCAAATAACAACAACTACCGTAATAAATATCTCACTGCAGCTCAAAATAAGCAGGTCATAATCTCTTCCCTCTGAGAAGTCCCCAGCTGTAACACAGAAACAAGATTTTTTCCCATTCAGCTCATGGCTGAATACTACTTAAAAGATGTGATTGTTTTCCTTTCCTGCCTTGTGATCACGGAACCAAATAAGTTGCAGTAATTCACTGATCCGAAAGAAAACAGTGAGTTGTTACTTTCTATTGCACTCATAAGCTAATCTCTTCCAGCACTGAAAGACTGGTATATCAGAAAAAAAATGGGCAGGAAAGCACCATACAAAAGGGGAAGGGAGGAAAGGAGGCAAACCCCACAATTTGAAGCAGTCCACAGTGCAGTTAAAACTCGGAATTCATTATAGCAATCTAAGGCAATAGCTGAAATTACAATACATAATCACATTTCCTATGGCAGTCACTTTTACCAAAACCCCTGTATCCTGGCTCTTGCTTGGGGAACTAGATCAGGAATTGATATGCTGAAAAAAGCATCTCCAGATGAAAGCAAGTTCAGCCACGTCAGTTCTTTGCTAGAGCTCACAGCATGGCTGTAAAAGCAACCGTGCTGGTTGCAAGGCAGGCAGCAGCAGAAGTGCCCAAAGGTCAAAGGCAGCACAAGAAGATTCTTTCAGTCATAGAAGGATGCTATCAATGACTGAGTGTTGAGCACATTCCACTGCAATGCCATCATTCACCTCCAAAAACCAAAGGTGTTGAGATGAATGGTGAGCTGTCAGCAAACGCTCCACGTACTGTCACAGTCCTGTCACAGTCGGAGATGTCGCTCATCTTTTCAGGACAATGTGCAAAGGGAATTACCCTGTCCAAGCAGGGCCACTGCTCAGACCCCACTGACTGAGCCACCTCCCCAGCCAGTGAACCTTCTTTCCTTTATTCTCCACCACAAGAGCCTCATCACTGCCTCTGCCAAAGCCCGACACCTGAGCAGACTGCTTCTACTGCAGAGGCAGGAAGGGGGCACTCACTGCAAAACAGGAGAATGGAGAAAGGATAAAGGATACTGTGCAGCCCCTGTGGAAGGGCACGGCCAAACCCACTGCTTATTGCTGCAGTAAGCAAAGGCTGTCTGCCCCATCCTTTCTCTGTATCAAAAGCATCCTGTAACGACTTTATACATCCTGCCAGGAGAGAGGCTCAGATGCAGGTCTGAACAATACATTTATGCAGAGGAATACTGACACAATACCTACATAACAACAGAATTCTGGGAATAGGTGTTTTCTACGTTGTATCCTACCTGAAAAGAAGCTTCAAAGATGTAAACTTGCACTAAAGGCACACAGAACCTCGTGCTACAGCTCTGGAGAGCACTCAAGCACTAAAAAACATATCATCAGAACTGGAGGGGCCACAGAAACCTGTAAGCACTTTTGAATGGAAATAGTCTCTTCCTTACAAAGCACACTGTTGACGCCCCTTACTCAGGGGAGACACTAAAATGTCGATGCAAGCACTGTTGCTTCACCTGCCTAATGTTTCAGTACGGTCTTTATAATTGCTCACTTTGATAAACTAAATGTTGAACAGATGTTTGCCCC